ATTACTTTTTTAAAAGTTGAGGGACATTACAGCTGCGCTGCTGATCAGAGCTGTTTATAGAATATGAACGGACTCGCGGGAACCTGGTCGCATGCGGGGTCTGTGTTGGTGATTCTAAATTATTGATAAGGTAACAATGCTGTGGCTTCATCTGCCACATTTTATTTTAAAGAAAGAAAAAGTAGCTTGCAAAGCTGTCGCATCGGTGCTACGTGATTAAAAGCAGAGTTTTCATTGCGCGCACACACACACGTCTTCCTATCTTTGTGAGGACCACACACAGCACTCAGCCTCGCTCTGCACCGTCTTTTTCCCCCAAGTTTGGTGAGAGGTGGATATGGAGGGTYGCAAAAAATAGCTCTGGACTTGATCTGGACTTATTTAAATAAAAATGACTACATGCCGTGAAATTCTTAGAGGGGCRGGCCGTATCRTTGGCTGGGGTCCGCCCCGCCCCGCCTGTATAATGGTAGGGGAAACACTGAAACAGGTATGCTATCTGAAAGTACTAAGTACTAATCGTGTATGCAACTTGTAAATGACAGATACCAAACAGGTACTTAATCCTCAAGTACCAGGTTCATATTATCTGAAAACCAGGTACTAAGGTATGTACTCTCCATGTAATCACCATTTATATGGCAAGTACCAGTTAGGTACCCGTTAAGTACCAGGCTGATGTATTGCTAAAAATGTAGGAATCCAATGTTTTGTGTTTTGTAATAACTAAAATAAAAAAAATAAAAAAAGCTCTTTCGGGCAAATTTATTTGTAATTACTTGGCACTAACCAGGTATTTGTTGGGTATCAAGTTATTTAGTAATACAGCCATTTCCCTGTAGATACCCTTTAAGTACTAGTAGGTGCATACCTGGTAGGTGTAAGCACCATGCACTAAACAGATTTGTACGCTGTAAGTGCTGGGTTCTAAAAAAGGTAAATAACTCATGAGTACCTGAAACCAATCTGGTGAGTACCAGGTTCTTAGCYTGTGAGCAGTAGGTGCCAAACTGGCATGTACCCCTTTTTCCAAAAACAAGGTTTTTATTCTGTAAGAACTGAGTACATTACCAAGTGGTCCAGAGTGCTTACCTTGTTAGTGTCATGCTGTATTATATTTGTTAATAGATTTGGTACATGCAKTCTTGGAAGTTATTTGTCACTTACTGGTATGATCTGTTCAATTTATGTAAATAAATGATTGCATAGTCTTTTATGAATCAACTTGAACTCGTCTGAACGTTCACTTATTGTGCCACTTTTCACTTCACACAGTCAAGATATTAACAAGTAATGAGAAATACCTTGGTAAAAGTTTCCTCATAACCTTGTGTATGAGAGATGTGGGAAAAGCTTAATTCACCTTAAGCTCACTCTTACACCAGGTTAATACTGGGTATCAAKTCACTTTGTAATACAGCCTGGTCCCTGTAGATTCCCTCCGAGTATCAGGTACATAGACTGTACGTACCTGATTAATACCAGGTACATACTAGGGGTGTAACGATACATCGATCTGTATCGATATATCGATTTGAATGGTTCATGTTTAAATTATATTGAGGCAAAATTAAAATATCAATCWATATCATCATCATATTCTCAATATGAATCGATATCATATATCCATCTAAGACAGTCAGTGTGTTAGATGGATATATGTTATCGCATTATATCGAGCGCAGATGTGAATTGAATTGAATTGAATTGAAATCACATCGTGACAGACTTTGTGATATCGAGAAATATCAAATCGTCATCCAAACATATCGATGTAATATTGTATTGTGATAAAGCTGGTGATTTACACCCCTAGTACATACTCATTAATTACCAGGCTGTATTATATGGTTCTTGTATTTCWACCAAAACCCAAGTGTTTCCAATGCTTTTTAAATACATTTTAGGTCAGTTTTCCTGTTGTTTTGCCAAAAAGAACACATTTTCTCTCACTTTGTAAATAAATCCTAAGTGCTCATATGTTCCAGATATCCAGGCAGTAATGATCATCATGGAGGGTTGCAGCCGTTATTGGAGCTTCAGGGGAAGTTGCCCTTCTAACGATAAGTGAGGCAGACTCTGATATTGGCTGCTCCTACTTGTGCAAGTGGTAATAATTTACCCTAAAGAGATGCAATAAAAAAATAGCAYGCTGCACACTCGGTCGCACAGTGTATGGACYGCAGCGGCRTGATGGACAGCGGAGGCGGAGCCCGTGAATTAATCTCAGGGTGTCCCTCCGTGTCAGGAGCCGGCAGGGGCCGATGCTTGACAGCGCTGACAGACAAATCATGTCAAGGCGACGTCTGCAATATTGAACAAGAGCTGAAAGTTTTCAGGAAGGAGGGGAGCGGGCGAAGAGAAAAATGCTGTCCTTGGGAAATGTTCCTCATTTCCCCAGCTGTTTACTCGGGGTTGCGGTGCATTTCTGCGTCGTGGACAAATGTGGCGTGTAAGCATAAAAACACACACCCGGCTCGTTTTATTATCATCTCAACTTTTCCCTTGTTCTCCATTTTTTTTAAATTTGTTTCTAGTTTTAAATGTTTCTATATTTGTGACTTGAGGATGTGGGAGGGGGGAGGTGACTCCCCACCTCACTTCACAGATGAGGTGCAAAGAGGTTGTGAACGCCTTCAGGGTGAAATGTGTCCTTGAACTGGATGTGTTAATGACTGAACAAAAAAAAAAAAGAAACGACACCCTCTCTTGGTATTTTGACTCACTTGTGCTTTTGTCAAACGTTTGTGCTGCTTTATTACACCGTTTCTGCTCAGAAATGATGTGGCGAAGGCTAAGAACGAAAGCCTGACAGATGCTGGGAGCGGCTTTTGATTTCTCTCAGATCCATGTTGAGTTTCACTTCGTACTTGTTTGTTTGTGTGTCAGTGCCCGTGTGTATCTACGTTACAGCTTGCATATAAGTTGAAAAATGTAGAAGTTCTGATACACCCAGGAAGGGACTTTTGAAGAGCCAAGAAAGATATGTTTTTGCATCTTGATTGAGGCTTTATTTGTCTACTTTACACTGGAGGCTTATTTGCCAAAGCATGAAACACCAAAACAGATTTTCACTTTGTATTTAGTTGTGACTGGTAGCACTTTTCTCCGTGTTAAAGATGACTTCATTCAGCGACATGATGTTTTTAYAATAGCCAAGTTTGATRAAAACTAACAAGAAATTGACTTGGAAGTACCCTCTGTCCGTCATGTATGTTGCTGGAAACGTTAAAAATAAGTGAGGTACTGACTTTTAGTTTGGTTTGTGTCTGCATTTATGTATAAGAAAAGTTCAGATTGAAAACAAGATCAGCAAATCAAAATCCAATGGCTGTCAACTTATGTGTCCATAAATCTTGTGAACTGATAACTTGAAACATAAGTGAGGTACGGACTTCCATTTTGGTGTGTGGCTGCATTTAGACATAAGAAAGGTCATTGTTGAAAATTGGGTTGCCACGTGAAAATCCAAGATGGCTGCCAACATTTATAAAAGTGAACAGACCACCCTAATCTATGGAGTAAACTATTTTTTCATGGGGTTGCCAGCTGCCTAGGTTAGTTTTAGCGCTGCATTGCTAATGCTAGGTTGATGCCACAATCTCTGTTGCTACAATCTCTGCTCCCTGTTCAGACCCCATTCAGACATAATGGAAACTTTGGTGGGGGGCATGGACTTTGATAGGCAAGGGGTTCAGTTCTGTTGTCAGGGTGTCCTACTTGGATAATGTTTTATTTATTTTTTTAATTCAAGTCAAAAGAAATATCAAAATATGTTGTGAAGTGTTTGAAAGATTTTTTTAAAGCTTGATTTTGAGTAAATCTGCTCCAWTCAATGTATGGATACTAAAAAAAACAAACAAACATTGAAGAACAAATCTTTTCAGGCATGTAGGAAAAATAGTTTGTTCAAATACATAATGTAAGATCTGAACTCTGAAATATTACATGTGGAGTGCCTCAGGGTTCTGTACTTGGACATAAGTTGTTTATATTATTTGTGAATAATTTGGTAAATGTGTCAGGACTTTTTAAATGTGTATTATTTGCAGATGATACAACATTTTATTGTTTGGGAAAAGATATAGAACGGCTATTGGAAACGATGCAGACAGAATTTGTAAAAATACAAACTTTGTTTAAATTAAATAAATTATCATTAAATCTGGATAAAACTAACTACATGATATTCAGTAATAGAAAGGGAACTATTTATGTGCCACTAATCTGCGCTTATAAATTTATTCCATGCCATGACCGTCATGGGGGTTCTGTTGGGGGTACGGGATGCTGCCCCCCTCCTGAAAAATGCTTCTTCTATTTAAATATAGTTTTGCAGTTTTTTAAAGCGGATAGAAGTAATACTTCCATTCAAGAAAACAAAAACCTGTTTGTGACAAAGCAGACATGTTATTTTCCTTTTAACTTGATATGGCTCTTTTTGTGTTTGTCTTTAGATTCTATGCTGAATGTGTATTTTTTTTCCTCACAGGAGCATCAGTACCAGTAAGGTGACAATCCTGGGTTATGGTCTTCTCACCACAGATGCACGCCTCCTAGTGGAGGCTCTTTGCAGGCAAAAGTTTGCTGTGGTGGTGGTGGACGAATCTCATTATCTCAAGTCCAGGAATGCTGCGCGGACCAAGATTCTCGTCCCGCTCATTCAGAGCGCGAACCGGGCCATCCTGCTCACTGGCACCCCTGCTCTGGGTCGACCTGAGGAGGTAATCAAATCCAGTGAAATGAAAAGTTAATGATGCCTTGTGGGAGGATGGAGTAAATGAAGCAGGTTGTTTTTGTTTTTCCCCAAACGATTAAATGGACCTTGCAGATTCCAAACTCCTTAAAACGCTGCTTTACATATTTAATGAAAGATTAAACACGGAGCCGAGGAGGGCAAAAACAAGAGCTAAACTCTGTAAATTATGAAGTTTTAGAAAGATATTCTTGAGCCACCCTTGTAAGAAGAGTGGACCATCTCAGAAAGGTGTTCCCGTTCAGGTAGATYGCCAAAGCGGTTGGTGCCCTGGTCTAACATTCAAAAAGGCAATTAACTCTGCGGCGTCACTCATCCTGCTGGATCCTGAGGTCTTATTTCAATAACCTTTGCTGCAAAAAAACTTCATTTACAAAGCCCGATATGATGAGACACGGTGCTGTAATAAATGAGACAAGTAATAAAAGAAGCACGGGGTGGGGGGGTCACTATTGAATTTAGAAACAATAAGAAGGGGCTATTCACAGGACAACTGTGTTTGGAGAGCCAGCCCCCACCTCCCCATCTCTGCGTAATGATTTATTATACCATTGTTGCGTATGTTAGATTGCAGGTGGATTGTAGAATGTGGCCATATTCCATCATTGGTGGTAGTGGTGGTGGTGGTGGTGGTGGTGTGTGTGTGTGGGTGTGGGGGGGGGGGGGGGGGGGGGGACTGAAACAGACTTTGTAAATTAAAAATCCTTTTACAGATCCAATATGAAGAGATGGTACAGTAACACCAACAACTACTGTAAGCCCAGTTTGCTTAAATTATTGGCACCAAGGCAGCTTTTTATCTGACATCTTTTCCAGTTTGGTTCTGCCTAAATATTAGTTTTGAAGGCTTTGCAATCTAAGATTTCTTTTGGAATAAGAAAAGATACTCTTGTTCATGATTCATGATGAAGGATTGTGAAGCAAATTTAACAAAACCAATCAGTTTTTTGGTGACCTTACATTGGTCAACATAAGTGCTATTTAGGTTGTCCGAGACAACCTATTTTCGTTTCGGACAACTAGATCCCGCCTCCTGGTTGAAAAGAAAAAAAGATGTGAATTTAAGTTCTCTTCCRTGACGGTTGACTGTCATTTGTACAAATGAAAGGGTAAAAAACTTCTTAAAGCCATCCAAATTTTAAACTGACGGTTCTTTCAATCAATAGAGAGAACCACAGTCAAAGTTGTACCCAGTCAGATCAGAGCAGGGCGGGTCGTGCTGCTCCGCCTGCCGTGCACCATTCAAACAGTTTGTTTGTTCATCAAGCTTTTGCTCTTCTATTTACAACATTTAATAAGTTATGAAGTGTATTGCCGCATGTCTTTTTGGAAAATACTACAACAACATGAGCGCCAAGGTTAAACACCTCCATTGCTGGCTAGGGTGCGCGAGGACCCAAAACACAACTATAACTAAGCCTTTAGGACAGGTGAACGCTCCAGTCCCGTGGAGACTGTCAGTGTTTCCCAGACTATTTTCCACCAAGGATCACGTATTTTATATATATTATACTGTAGATTTTAAAGCACCTTGCAGTATTTCCACCGTAACGCCATGTGTTCACGTTTCTACCTGGAACCATTGGAGAGGAGGTACAAACTGCACAGCTGAGCGTGGTTCTGTGTGGTTGGAACCTGGAGACACGCTTCTGCCGAACTGCAGATCTGAACCGCTACAGGTGCGCCGGTGGAGAAGGGCTGGGACTGGGAGTGTCACCCAGGGACGTACCTCCAATTGCTTCCTGCCATGCAAAGAATTGTGGGAATTCTCTCTTGAAAACCGTCACCCAGTCAGCCAGAGTATATACTGTAGCTCTGTGAACGAACGGATGTCTGAAAGGGGCGCTGTTTCCACACGATGGCTTTTCATTGTATTGACCAGAGATGGCTTCCTCCCTCCACTGTTGAAGATAATGATGATGAAAATTCAACGAAACAAGTGGCACTACATTGTTGTGAATTTAGACAGCTTTCTTTCTCCACTGTAGAAAATAACAATGATGAAAATTCAAAGAAARGTTTAGTTTAGCACTACTCAATTTTAAATTTAGAAAGCGCAAATCTGCACAGCGTTGGAAAAAAATTAGTAAAATCCCTAAAGTGTAAATGAGAAATTTATGTCTGCAATTTGCACTTTTGCACTTTAGGGGACTGGTGCCCACCACTGCATACAAGAGATATCCGTCCATCCATCCATCCATCCGTCCATCCATCCATCCATCCATCCATCCATCCATCCATCCATCCATCTTCTGTTTGTTCGTGGTCGGGTCGCAGGGGCAGCAGCTAAACAGAGAAGCCCAGTCTTCCCTCTCCCTAGCCACTTGGAGGCACGCCCCCTAGTGGAGGCTCTGCAGGCAACAATTCTCTGTGTTGGTGGTGGATCTGAAGTCCAGAAACGCTGCGCGGACCAAGATTCTCATCTCATCCCTCTCATTCAGAGCGAGAACCATACGTGGGATACAAACCAGCAGAGGATWCAAACAAAGGAACAAATACTTGATGATAATTTATAACTCAACGGCAGACTATTAAAAAAAAAACCCAAACAAGCACATTATCCCCACCAACCTCATCTGATCCATCTGATTACTTGAATATGAGTGTGTACATGTGCCAATGTTTTGCTCAAATAAATACAAAGAAGTACGTTAAAGGCTTGAATGTACTGTTTGGTTGATATTTGAAGTGACATTTACTAGTACTAAATATTGATGACTATCTGACAGAACTTCACTTTGAAAAAGGACCAGTCTTTCTCTTTAGGCTGGTCACTTTTGTTTTTAGCATAATGAGCTACTAATCGACTGCCTGAGCAGCTCAGAGATAATAGATTTTGTGTTTACTTTGTCAAGCTGTCTGTGTGGCACAGAACTGAAACTGTGTCGACATAAAAAAAAATCTAAATTATTGCCTGGATCATGATAGTAGCTGATAAAACTATGGAAGCTAATTAATTTTAAAATGAAGTGAAGTTATTTCTTGTTAGAAATCTCCAGAAGGTGTGTCATTGACACTGTGTGTGTGCGTGTGTGTGTGTGTGTGCGCGCGTGTGTGCGTGTGTGTGTGTGTGTGTGTGTGTTAGATACTTGACATATGGGCGTATGACGAATGCCATGCTGTCTCTGCCAGCTCCTGTCTGCAGCGGTGAGGTTAGTTTTTAGATACCATCTCTCTGTGTGCCACCAGAATCTAAAAACCGAACAGAACATTTTATCATCCGCAGCAAAAAACCCCAGATAAGCCCTGTCCCCCTGCCTCTGTGCCAGTCTTCTCGCTGCCATCATTACTCACCGCGGCTCTGACATGGAGCTCGCACAGCGCTTGGGGCATGCTGCACCGTTCATGATGTGCCCTCATTCCTCCCACCCTATTATATCAAGTTTGTGAGGGGAGAAAATGCAAAGCTGCTGTTGAACAAGTGCTGAATATAGAACAACGCTCTTCACCACGGCTGCTTATTCAGCTCACCTCGCTGAAGATTACCCGTCATTATTTCAGAAAACGGCGGCAAATGCTGAAAATTGGCAAGATGTTGAGCGTTGGCTCGGGCAGGAACTCTTTCTGAGGACCTCATTGCAACCCTTTGCTGGAAATTCACTATTTTACCTSTCAGAAATCACACACAAGCAAAAAAAAAGGCGCATTTTTCTTGTCTGATTTTCTTTGTTTAACCTGGTTTTAAAACTCGATACAAACTCCAGTTGCACCACACTGTGGTTTGACCTGTTTAATTTGTGTTGACGCAAATAACCACAGGAGCGGTAAACTAGGCGAAGGACAACAGGACCTTGAATAAACTGCGAGCGTGGTTTACTCCATGGCTAATTGTGAGCTCTTGGAAGTGGAAGTGGAAATTAAAAACAGATTTTCATTCATCATAGCAAAAAATAAAAAATCCATTTATTATCTACACCCGCTTCTTCCTTTCAGGGTCATTGATGCCCTTTTCCAGCAGTCACTGTAGAGGAGGTGGGGTACACCCTGGACAGATCGCAAGTCCATCATAGAAAAAAAAGATATTTTGAACAAGGATTTTTTTCAAATGTGTACTGTTTTATTAAGTCTATGCTGCTTAATGAAGAGAATATCTAAATTGATACAAGATATAAAACTAGTGGTGCCCCAATTCTGATACTAGTATCCATTAGGGGTGTAACACATCGATCCATATTGATTAAAATGATTGATAATTAAATTATATTGAGGCAAAATGAAAATATCAATATTGTCATCAGATACCTGATCTGGATCYATTTCAGATGCCTATCTAACACAATCACAGGGATATGGTATCGCATTGCATCGATCGCAGACTTGTGAACTGAATTGACTTGAAATCGYATGATGCTTCGATACTCGGGGACGTTAGCAGTACCAGCAGTGGTGAGCAGCGCTAATTCTAGTGGCAGAACAAGTTCCTTTCAACCCAACTCACATTTCGTCGTGGTTTCAGGAAGTCTTTTATACAAAGAGACGTTTGATTCATGGCGTTAATTTAAAATAAAAAGTTATTGTGGACTGCAAGTTTTGCTGCTTCTTGGTCATTTATTTTTCTTATGTTTATGGTAGGGCTTAGGTAAGAAAGCATACAATATGTCATTTTAAACAGTTTATTGGAGAACTGAAGCAATGCATTCTGGGTAAAGGACCAAGTAAAGGAACCTGTATTCATTTCAAAATAAGAGCCTGAATTTAAACTGTGCCGTGTGTAGCTTCAATACGACATGACG